TTTTATTTTTTGATTGTGTATAAGCCGCCCAGAGAGCCTATGGCTAATGGGGTGGCATACAAATCAAGTAAATAAATAAACAAACAAATAAATACCAAAGTCTGATTGACTCATGTATTCCTATCTGTTCTTATGCTTCATCAAGCCAGGATACATATAATTCTGACTGGATTAGATATGCCTGCTAACATTTCAGGTTGCTTCACATACATCCCTATGTTGATCGTAAATATTTGATAAGTATTCCTGCTGTGAGCTTTCTGAAAAGAATGTGGATATTAATACTTGTGTAGCAGAATTTCTCATGGATTTAAAACATCTCCTTGCTACACACCTGTTTTATGCACATTAAGCATTTTGTGACTGTGTTTCTGAAGGACTGACTTTCTCTCTTCCACCTTGTATCTGACTACTTGTGTAATATTCCTGTCCCACTATGTAATATGGGAAAGTGTGGGAAAGGGGATGGTACTTTTTGTTATTTCTTATCCTATTTATTAAATTCATTCCCTACTGTTCCACTGCAAGATAAAATGCAGAATTTGAATCAAACCTAAAACAAATCAGTTAAAAACAAAGTAAATCAAGCTGAGAAATCATCTCAAAAGCTGCAAGCTTCTTGTGAAGAAGAATGTCCTGGCAGAACATCAAGGATGGAGCTAGCCTCATTCTGACAGAGAATTTCAGAGTCTGGAAGCAACCATGGAGAAGGCACTCTTTCATTTCCCATTATATGCCTCCGATGATGGTGAGACCGAGAGAAGGTCCTCTTCTGAGGAAAGCAATATTGCAAGCAACCATTGTCCTGTTATTTAGGCCTTTATAAATTATATCCAACATTCTGAACTGTGCCCAAAAATGAACCAGTAAGAAGGGGGAAGTGGTGGTAGGGATTGGCCATTAAAAAGCAAAAGCAAAAGGCCCTTGTATATTGGCTATTCTTGTTCGTGTATGTCTACATTTGTTTTCATGAAATTTCTATGTAATATTGGGATTTACAAAGTTCATTTTGAATCCTTATCCTGTCTTACAAAGGGACATGGACACAGACACGGACACACACGCACGCACACACAAGAAATTATTCATCGAATAGAGTTTTTCATTCAATTGTGGTCTCACTGTACTATGGAAAGTCCATCCTACTCCAATATTTTCCATTTTCTTGTTTCTAACTATGTCACGTCAAATGCTTTACTGGAGATGAGCTGTAATATATGATTAGTTTTCTCACTGCCTTGCTCAAAAGAGGAAACAAGGTTTCTCTGACATAAAAAACAAAACAAAAACCCATCACATTAGCTTATTAGCAATTGCACAATATGATCATGGCCCTTACAAGCTGACTCTTCTATGATTTATTCCTAGACCTTGTCTAAGAATCAAGTTAGGGTAACAGGTCTGTATCTTCCAAGATCTTTCTCTATGATCTCAGTCCTCCCTTTGTCATTCAAAGACAGGAATTTGCTTTGACTTCCCTGAAATCTTGAAATCTTTGAAAAATTCTCTGAGGATGTCTTTTGCCATTCCTTTCATTTCATAGGAATGCAGTTTACCAGGCAGGCCAATTAGATTCTGGTTTTAACTTTTTGCAATTCTTTTTGCAAATTCTTCTAAGAAGCTGTGGATAGTATATGAGATTTATCCCAATTTTACCCTCACAGCATTTTTTGGTAGTAATTCAGGCCAAGAGAAAATGACTGGTCATGATCATCCACAGAATGGATGAACTTGGGTCTTTTTGTTTTAAGTCTGGATCTCTAGCTACTGCAACATCACGTTGGCTATCATGGATGGCCCTCCAAAAATTGTGAGACTTCTAGTTTTATGAGGATGCTAAGAGTTTATTCTCAGTATCTTATCAACACTACAATTAATTGAAAACAAGAAATGTACCTGCTCTGGATTTTATTCCATCTTGGATGGGGAGAGAATTATTGCAATGTCCTTTAAAAACCCATTTCCCACTGACCAATAGAATCCTTTCTCTTTTGATTAGTGCATATTTTGTATGACTACTCACAGTTTATTTTTTATTTTACCTTTCTGTGTTAACCTTGTTACTTCTGCTAGTAGACTTCTCATGAATAGGATGAACCACAGGAAGCCCACCTGTCCATTTCATTCATCCATTACATGAATATCCACCTTTGCTCCTCTTGCAAGGACCACCCCCTCCATAATATCCTCAGGACAACTCTATGAGGTGGGCTAGACTGAGGATCAATGACTAGCCCAAAGTCACTCAGTGAGCCTCATGAGTGAGCAGGGACCAGAACCTGAAATTCTTGCATCTCAGTCCAACACTCTAACCACTGCATCACACTGGTTCTACTTTCCCTTCTAGCCCAGTAGTGCTTACTTTGACTGTTGGCAACTTGGCACATGATCAAGTAAGGCATCTTTCATATCACTTGACTTTTAACTTGAGGTCTAACTGGGACCCTCTGGATGCAACACTTATGTGCCCCACTGACTCCTTTAAGGAGCAAAATGGTTGGGAAAGCAGTTGGGAGCCCATAGAAGATACGGGTGAGCTATCCAGAGGAAATGGTCATCAATGACTGACTGAGCAAGACCTCCTACATGCACCACTGTAACAGAGAATTAAACCTAAACAATCAGTATAATTCTTCCACGTGCCACCAGCTGGAAAGAAAACAAGGGCATGAAATTTGCAGTTTTTTGCTCAAAGCACTAATTTGCGGCTGCAACACCATTTTCCATACACATACCAAAAGCTTGTAAATTAGACTTCCAGAGAGAATGTTTACATTTGGCATTTAGTTCAACTGACTAGGCCTGGGGCTTTGCCACAGGATTCTCTGATGCAATCCAACCTAATGGAAGAACATAAATCATAGTATTGGGCTCTTACAATGCTGGGGTTTTTTAAAGCAGAGGTTTAAAACACCCTCATACAGCGAAGATTTCAAAGTAGACCTGTAGGATGGAACATTAGTACCCATTAATGGGAAATGCAAAGGATCCTTCCACTTTGTTTTGTCTTTTAAATCTATACCTAACATTATAGTCCCAAGGAGAAGAGAGAACAATGATCACACATTTCCAGCATGATACTAAAAGGACCTTTGTGTCACATATTTATAAAACACACATAGAGGAAAAAACAAAAAAGGCTCCAATGACAGGTCAATGTGAGGTTGCCATAAGTTGTAGTCCCTAGTTTAGTCCTGCAAATAATCCTTCAAATGGTATGAACAATGCACTTAGGGCAAGCTGCCATTTATGCTCCTCATTGCTTACAACCTATAGGAACATAGGAAGCTGCTTTAGTATAAGCCTGATGATTGGGCCATCTATTCCCACATTGCCTACACTCACCTGGAGTGACTTTCTAGGCTTTCGGATGTGTGTTTTTCCCAGTCCTACATGGAGGTACCTGGACGGAACCCAGGACCCATCTGCAGGCAACACCCTGCATTCTGATGCAGTGCATGTGTTCTTCCTCCTACTTGGGTGGATTATCAAAAGTGAGTCGCTAAGCATGACTATCACTGTAACAGTGTGACAAAGATAGAGGAAGGGAGTGGTAATAGCAGTAGCAACAGGAAAGGTAGCCTTGTGGTGGAGTACCCTTATTTTCTTATTCTATTTTGTTATCACTTCTGTCTCTTCCTATGTCACCACTTTCATCAGTACAGCCAATAAAAGCCCTTGATATGGAAACTGCCTAGAAATCTAGCAAGCTATCCATGGCTATTAGTTGTGATGCTTATAAATTACCTCTTGTAACAGAGACAATATAAGTCTCAGTACCAGTTGCTGGAAAGCATGGGTGATAAGGTGCTCTGGTCTTCCTGTTAACACCTGGCCACTGTGTAAACAGAGAGCTGGATTAGAGAGGCCTTGCTCTGATTCAGCATGGCTCTTCTTAAAGTCTTAAGTCTACTTGCAAGGCTATAAGTTTTACTGCTTTCACTGCAGTGGATGGATTTCAAAAACCTTTCAATTCAGAAAGTAAAATGCAACAGCTTTCTAGTACCCTCAGTTAACACACACATGTGCACAACATAGTTACTTCTGCCTCTTGTAGAGGGTGGTGGGAAAGAGCAACATTCTCTAAAGCAATAGCCAATACGAGATACTTCTCATGGAGACTCCTCATCTGCAGGTAATCAAGAGCCCAGAACTGAGTCATATCCTAACCTAAGGTGGATGAACCACCAGCAGCCATTCCAAATGAGGCCATACCATACATTTATATGAGACATTCTGATATTTGCAGTTTTATTTTCACTCCCTTTTCAAATAATCTGCTGGATGTGGAAATTATGTATGTATAAATGGTTGATGTTTTCACTGAACTGTTTGTTATAAGCCCTAGTTCTCATTCCTTATAATTCACTACCTTCACTTCAGTGACTATAATTCACTTCAGTGTAGATGTGCAGGCATGATTTCAGATTTTTTTTTTGGCCAAAGTATAGCACTTTAATTTTTGTGCACTGGCAATTTTTTAATTGCCAGTTTTGACCCATCCTTTCAGAATCTTCACCATCTGCTTGGAGTTTCAACACCCTGAATAAACTGGTGATATCTCTGAACCTGACCTCTTTATTCTTCCCTTCTGATTATAAATCATATATAATAACTGAATTAGCATTAGTCTCCATACTGATTCTCAAAGGATGTCACTTTAATTTCCTATTGTTAGGATAATTGTTTACGCATATTCTCTGCTTCCTCTACATTAGCCAGTTACTCATCCTTAAGAAGGTGAGAGATTTTGTCCAAAATTTAGAATGGCAAAACTATATGTCTACCAGATCATCCTGTCTACTTGGTAACATTCTTAATACACACCAAAATGTTGGTGGGGAAATGCTCCTCTCCTGATTCTTCCTAGATACCAGATGAATTGATGGATTTCCCCATCCCACTCTGTGTAAAAGACAGCATAACTGAAGCATGCAAGACGTGTGTGGGAATGCCTCCAGGAAGGGGCTTTGAGAAACAAGGAAGGCAGGTAGACTTACTAGGCACACGGTTGATGGCTTTGAGAGGCCTCAAGACACGCACAGTGCGGATTGCAGACAAGTTAATATTTTGGAGGTCCAGAGAATATTCCACCATCCTGCAAAAGGAGAGATGGGAAAGATACAGAAAAATGAGAGATTCGCTTGAAACCAGCAAAGGAACTGAGGGACGGAGGAGCTGATGTGGTTCAACGGAGGCAGAATGCCACAAATTCCCTTCAGTCTGTCATTTCTTCCTCATCAGTTTGCCTTGAGACCTTGCTGGTAGGGAAGCATTGGAAAGGAAGAAGTGCCGCATGCATGTTAATAATGTGGGAAGCTGCCTCCCCACCCCCACCAAGGCTGGAGAGACCAAGCGGAGGACTGACATTTCGCACTGCATATCGGAGGCTGCATCTCTGTGAAGGGATTTTGGTGACAGCATCAGGCTGCTGATCAGAGCACAGACCTGCTCTGGGGACCCTTAGAACTGAGCATGAGTACCCCACATATTTCACCAGACAGGTGCCCAAATCCCAGGGCAAAAGAAAAGCCTTACCTCAACCCCTCCCCATAATCCATGCCCTTTGGAATAAAGATGAGCTAAAAGAAAAGTTCTGAAAAGTCATCTGCAAGTAGCCAAGAGACTCTGCTGAACCTCCTTACTCTCCTGGCATTTCCCTGTTTTGACTTGTCACAAGGGATAAGAGCTTTGCTGGAACCAAATAGCAGAGAGTTATAGAAGAGTGCTTTCCGTGCCCTTGGGAGAAAAAGAAAGGCAGAGCAAGGGATCCAACTATATTGCAAGGGAGCTTTTGAACTACACAGCCTTTCCTAGAAACCCAGGGAAAGGTGAGCTGGACACTGCATGCAGTGGCCTCAAAAAATTTCCCGATACAGCAGTGGCTGCTCTTGCATTGTGTGTATGGAAGCATATGCAGTTCACTGCCTCAGAGGTATGTCTGAACATCGAAAGGAGTGAACATTGTGCTGGTAACATAAAGATTGGCAGTCAGTGTCTTGGGGATAAAATTGGGTCCCAAAAAGTTCTGGATCTCAAGGGACTGGTTTTAGCATTCGCCTTTGAAAAAGACTAAATTTCGACTGGTTCCAAATACAAGCAGTTTGTTTGCTGTGAGATATGCAGCCTGTATTACTGCCGTGTTATTCCTGCTTCTCTGTTTGCCTGTTTCTTCCCAGGCTTACTTCAAAGTACTGGTCCTAACTTTGAAATCCCTAAGCCAGCCTTCCACTCCTGGAGTCCTCCTGTAATCCCTGAAAATTTGCCATGCTGGTTGGGGCTAATGGAAGTTGGCGCAAAATGAATGAAGAGCATCAAGTTGGGGGAGTCTACATCTCAAAAACAGCTCTTCATACAAACCCATCTGGAATCTTCATCCAACAGACTGCTCATTGCCCCATGTGATCCAAAGCATGATGGGTAGGAACATTTCTTGTTTTGTCTAAGGTGATGAGAGGCCAGTCTGTGCCCTTCACTACACTTTCAATGAACAGCGAAAGCATTATTTCTGAACTGGGTTGCCTCACAAGCCTAGGGAGCATGAGCATGCTAGGGACCTGTGGCCTAGCTTGGCACTTACCTAATGTTGCATGTGCAGCTTTTAAAGATCATTTGACACTTCTGCTGGTGCAGCATGCAACTGCCTGAGTATCGGAGGGGAGGCAAGCCACTGATTCACATGATAACCATGTGTGAAGCTGCATTGGTTGCCAGTGCATTCCTGGGCCCAATTTTAACCTTGAAAGCCAAATAACTTCATCTGCACCAACCTGCCCACACTTTAAGATCAAAGACCAAAGCCCTTCTTCTTTGCCCACCTCTGAGAGCAGTCACGGTGGAAACTACAAGGGTGAAGACCTTTTCTGCTGTGGCCCCATGTCCCTGAAATGTATTACCAACTGATGTGTATCAAGCCCCATCACTACAGCCCCTCACAGAAGCCCTCTAGCCTCATTTATTTTATGACTTTTTCTTGAGTTGTATTTTTACAGGAATGCTTATACTTTTTACTGCTTGCTTGCTTGCTTTTGTATTTTGGGGGTGCGGTTTATCAACACTGGCACAGGTTAGCAATTGAACTGTTTGCTTCTATTTACATTTCCCTTGGTTCTTGCAAAGGACTAAAGAGCTACATAAAAACTCTGAAGGAGTATTTGTTGCTGTTCATTTGAGAAGGGGTATTGGAATAGCCTTTATCCATACATTAGTTTTTACAGAGGTATATGAGTGGCCATAGCCATCACTGATGGCTGTTCAGCCCTTGCTCAAATGAAAAGATACAAATGGTATCTGTTAAAAAAATGAGCATGGTCAGTGTTGTGGGATTATGAGTGTTGTTGTCCAAAACATCTGGACAACAGATAGAGGCTCTTGGAGTCTGATCCGCTTCTGTTCTTTTAAATCAGGAAGCAGCAGCAGGGCAGGCTCAAAGAGCATTTGCAGATATGGACCCTCCTGTTATCGATGTAAATGTCTGATCATTGTTAATGCAGAAGACAAAAAGGAAGAGAGGCTTCCACTGTGCATTCTGGCCCATGTAGGCTCATGGCGGTTGTTTTTTCACTCAGATCAAAAATCAAATGAAGGAAATGTCGCTTGAAGCATCCTATGGGACACCTTATCCAATGGTACTTTGAATTAAGTCACTGGGTTCAAGCAAGGGTGCTCATAAGATAGCAGCCTGAGAGTGACTTTTGATGTTGCAAAGAAGGCCCAAGAGAAGGCGAGTTAGACTTCTGCATCTCTCTTGCGGAGGTTTGACTCCAGGGCTGGTCTCCCTCACTGATGGTTCGCAAGATAATCTCTGCTGTCTCTGAGAAAGTCAAAGTCTCACTCCAGGTACACATGTCTATGGCAGGCTTGCCCTGTGGCACCCCAATTAAGGAAAACACAGAGAAAGTGAAAGCCTGGACTTTTCTACAGTAGGCATTTCCCTGTATAATCATTCTAGCAGAGCAGCTCCACAGAACGGCAGAGTGTGCACGGCCGAGGAGGATGGGCCTGGCAGTGGTGAAGAGCTGGCATAGCTTTTTCAACACTGCAGCTGGAGAGCTGTTAAAGGGAACTGTTTTTGTTACTGTTTTAAAGAGCTGAATATGGGTCGCTGATTTATTTTTCAGGACACTGTCAATACACAAATAGGCACATTTCAGTGTACATTCCTTTGGAATCCCTGTCACTGAATGCCAAGGAAATGCTTGGAGGGCCCTTCTCACCCCCATGGTCTCCAGCTGCTCCTGCTCTTAACCCCTTTTCCAAGCATTGCTACCACTTGCTTGCTTCACAAGAGAGAACCAGTAAACAAGGAGGCACTGGCACCATCTATGGTCTTCGGGCCAGAGTGAGAGGCATAGGAGCAAGCTGGTTGCAGTGGTGAAGAGGAGAAGTGGCGCTTGCTAGTGAGTGTGGGTGCTTGGCAGGTATCCAACCATGCCTGCCCTAGATGCTGGTCCTGGATGAGTGGCAAGAGCCAGAAGGACTATTGCCTTCCATGCCTCACTGATGAGCAGCTCAGAAGCATCATGTTACCTGCTGTGGGCAACAGGATGGACCTCTACTCTGAACCAGCACGTGTGTTTGTGTTCATCTTTATGGCAGGCCTGTAGGCTACTGGTGGTTCCTCTTCAGAAAAGCAAGAAAAGAGGCACCATGTTGCAGAAAAAGGGAATCAAAAGCAAAAGCCAAATTTAGCCCTGTTCCTGAACATTAAGAGCAGAAGGGATAGGAGCTGATAGAATTAATTGGTATAATTAATCAATTAATTCATGAATCATATTAAAATTCAGAGCAGTCCCCTGTGGAAAAATATTCTGGGCTGATGGTACTGTCATAAACAATTTATGTCCCTCCCTTGAATCAGGCAGTGCATTCAAGATTATCTTTCCAAGCAATAAATGGTTTGTCTGTGAGAGTTAGACAACGGAACCTTTTCCCTTCATTAAATCACATCAAAATGCCACATATACTGAAATCCTGTAAGGGATATTTTAACAACTTAATGAACTGGTTCCATTTAAAGATGATGTTTGTTTTGCTCTTTGGTGGTACACATTAATGTCTGCTTACACAAAGTTGCTTTCTTCTCTTACCCTTGGCATGCTATAAGAATTAATCCAAATGTTCCATTTAACTGCTAGCTTCTCCAAGCAGGGCTGGAAAAAATACCTGTCTTCAAAATTGGAGAAAAATTATTGGGTTCAATAAAGGGCTGAATATAGACTGAGCATGCGTTGTTGAATCCTGAGTGTCTGCTGAAATAAAGGTTGTCTGAACCCACCTGTGGTAACAAGCCATGCCTATTCAACCATGAACAAACCACAAAAAGAAACCATGGTTTGTTGTTGGTTTGTGAACTGTGGTTTTTTTCACCATGGTTATTATCTCAGCTGGATTCATACAACATGATAACACATTTTTCAACAACAAAGTATGTTAAGTAACAACCCACATTTAACTCTTGACCAATAGTCTGTCTGACTTGCATATAGCAGCTTCTTATAATCATATGTTGAAAGAATTTGCTTGCAGCTCTCACTCATTCTGGTTAAATGGCAACCAAAATGCTCATGTGAATAGTGGAAGCAGTGACTCACTTTCAACCTCTGAATGTCAAATGAGGGTTGCTTTGCTCTTTTGAATGTTTCTCCTGAATTCATCAACTCAATGGATCTTTTATTTTGCATCTTGGGAAGACTCAGACTTGGTTTACACATGCATTTATGTAACTTCCTTCCTCAATTCTTGATGACTGGCTGAGAATGTGTGACTGGCACCACTCAAGTATTGATTATAGGAGGGCATATCACATCCCAGACAGACCTGTCACACCTGAGAGGGCCCAAGCACAGATGGAAAGGATCACTTGAGGTTGCATTTAACTGCAAAGCATCCCCTGTGCTGGACATGCCCACCTGCTGCCTCCAGCCTCCCTCCTCTCTAGTAGCACCCCAGCAGAGGAAGAAGTTTCTTACACAAGTTGCCACATGCCCTCTTGAGCTGCCAGAGCACCCAACCAACTCTCCTGCATGCCCAAAGCAAAGCTAGGCACTGAAGAAGCCGTGCTTCCTCTGATTCTTTGGAGATAACATTAAAGGGGGC